ATTCAATTCAATTCAATTCAAGATAAATTCCAAATTGAAAACTACTCAGTCATACACAGCAAATTAAGTGTCATATGAAAGCTGGCCAACCTCAATGCCTGTACATGTACTTTACATTTTTGGGTATGCTTAATAATGATTAAATATAAATATATTTATTCATATATGGCCTCAAAGATAGCAAAACCAGTTTCCTAAGTGTACTTTAATACTTGAGTAAAGCTGGACGGAGCATTTTGAATGTGCAACATTGGGAGTTTTCCAGAAAAAAAAGTTTACAGACTGCTTTTTAAAAAACTGCTATTTTCTCAAGTAAAGTCAACTAATTTTACTAGTAAGCTACAGAATAAAGTTTATACATGAAGGTGTAAAAAGCAAATGGAATTTAAATGTATTGTTACATTAAAAAATTCTTGGACTCCTACAAAGTTTACGTTGACTACATGCACTTATTTCAATGCTAATTATATAATCAATATAGAATTCTTTTGTCTATCAATCTGTTCTTGGTACAGTAACTTAAGTTGCAATTTGGGTTTCCTGTTTCTAAATTTTCATTAGTAATCCCCATCACTTCTATGAAGAGGGACTAGTTGTACTAAGGTCCCAAAATCAATCCAATTTGAAGTATTTCCTGTGATTGGAATATAAATATTTTGTGCTAACCAGGTCCTGTAACAAATCAAAATCTTACTATGCTTCTTCTAAACATACACAACTTTTGATTTGAAAACATTTTTTGGCTTAAAGCAAGTGCTTTCAACAAATCGTAAATGCAAAATAAGGTTGTGACCAATGTGCTGTGTTTACATTATCTTGCATTAGTTGGGAGAAATGGATTAAAACCGCACATTCTCTGATAAGTTGATAACAGTTACAGAAGAGATAGAGGGTGAAAAATGCAGACTGAAAAATATCACTGTCTATGGAATTGGTGAAAGAAAATCAGAAAACTGTGCTGAGGGGAACAGAGATTACACTGGGGAAGTCTTAGAGATACTTCGAGTTCTAAACTCCAGGCCTGCAGATACTGAATCCAGCATTTTGCAAACTACATCTCTTGCAAATTTTGAGACTGCTTAATCTCGACCACCGAGGATAATGTTGAATTAAGCAGCACTCTTTCATGATTGCAATAAGCATTATGAATGCAGTTAGTTTTATTATCTCCAGTCCCAAAGAATTCCATTGATAATAGTGATTATGCCATTCTGTCCATTGGCTTGCAAATCTACCTTATTGATGCAGATTCCTCTTCTGAAAATGATGATAATTGCAAGATATACTGGCTAGCGATCTTAGAGGATGGGAGCAGTGACCTTCTATGACCTTCTCACTTGAGAACACCCCCTGTGCCAAGGATCTGGAAAGCAGTTAACTGATGTTTAGGTCTGGAATTATCAATGTGAGAGATGCATGCTCACTTGTCCAGACAAAAATAAACTATGAGTTCCTAAAAAGACATGACTTATAAACCTCAAAAAAGAAGTAAAGTTTGTGAAGTAAATTTTCAGATTTATTGCCAACTTTTAACACAAATTCCTCCCTCTTCTCCTTCCCTCCCTCGCCCCTCTCACCACACTTTCTTCCCCCTTTCTCCCTCGTATGTGTGTCTGTAAAGGAAGCGTGTTTTTGTGTTTCTTAAAAAAGTTTGTGGCGAATTTCCTAAATATATATAAATCAGGATTCAAGAAAGGACTGTTTAGCCTTATTTGCTCTTTGAATTATATTATGCTATTTCAATTTTATTCTAAGTAAATGTTTCTGGTGTATTTTGTCTACAGGTTCCTGACCGTGAAATTCTTAATGAGCAAGAAACTAGTGTATCATCGGATTCAGTAAATGACATTACAACAAATGTACCTGACAGCACTGGCCCCATTCCAATAAATGAAAATTTTAGTGGGGTAAGATGTTTTGTATATTATTTGCATGACAATGTAGTGTGAAAAATACTACAATAACAGTCTGCTTAGTGAATTTGGAAACCTTCAATATCATGATCTTTGTTCTTGTCATTTTTATCTTGTCTGGCCAATTATAGTACTGTATCAATCATAGTAATTTGCAAGTGCATGATAATGGTGGGTGTTAATAGGAAGATATGTAATTAAAATAAATTCCCATACAATGCATTCTGCCTTGTAAAACTTCGGTTCCTTGTGACTCGCGAATATTACCCTTGCGACGGGTAATATTGCAACTACTGTTGGGAAGGCCACATGAAATGGTCTGTAGGTTCAAAGTTCAAGGATATTTGTATACCACGTGTCTCTGGTAACCGAATTGCCGAGATCCACTCAGTGTTGCGATCCTATGACGAAATTTGCGCTATCATCTGGCCAACCGTTTTCGGTGGGAATGCCTGCATAGCACTATAATAAGTAGCCTTTGGCATGAAGGTGACATTTCACCTTCCTTTCAAGAGCTACTGTCCTTCCTTACACTTTTAGAATCATTTCTTGAATAGACTAAGACACAAAGGAAATATTGTAGTTTATATCAGTGTTACTGCACGTGATGTAAACACATTGATTCAATTCAAATCTTCACATTTGCATCTTGACAGGGCTGGGTGCCAGGGGAAGCGTCCGAAGCCAAGACGGAGGTGCGAGAGCTACTGTTCTCCCAAATTTTGTGAGAGAGTACTATCACTACATCGTGCTTTATACATAATCATACTACTTATTGTTTCCTATGCACATGCACTATTTAGAACTTAAAACTCTGCTTCAGCAGTAATGGTAGCAGGCTTGCCAGGAGGAACAAGAGCACAACAATTAGAAGTTTTCTCTTTCTTTTGCATGGATCACATTCATCAAAATGTAATGTTGCTTTGTGTGGCCAGCAAGTGTTCTTCACAACAGGACACTTGCTCTTATCCTTAACTCTTAACTGGATTCATTAATAGATAAGAGCAAAAGCAACTAAGTAAAGGCAGCCTTTAGCATAAGCATAACTAAATAAAGGCAGCCTATAATTTCAAGAATCACATACGTGACTCGAAACCAATTACTATAATTTTGATGTTCTTGTCTCGAAGATCACATTTTTCTTTTCTCATTTCTTGCCTACAAGAAAGCAGCGTTGGTGCTTGATGCCTGGTTTGTGCATGTGCACTGGTAGCTTTCTGCAATAATCATTCCACTGGGCTATACTGGGTTTTATAACCAATAACTATTCATGTTGTTTTGTACTTGCGCTTGATAAACAAAAACCAGTCTGTTGCACATTGAACATATATGCCAGCATATGATGCACCCCTCTTTTTGGTATACCAACAAATACCCCTTTCTTAATATTTAAACTACTAACAAGAAAATAATGTTGGCATCCTGACAAGAAACATATAAGTAACAATAGTGACAAAACACAAATATGTCACATGAAAATGAATACAGGTATCATATTACAGATAATATATCAAAATTATCATTTTAAAATGTCAAACCCAGTGCAAGAAAAAACAAAAAATTACGAAAATTTACCCAGATAAATAATATGATTGTTTAATTATTAAAAGAATACTATCAAAGAGACAATATAGAAACTCAAAAGAATTGTCATCTATAATCTCTTAAATGTACATTTTAGCTCCTTTTATGTGTGGGTGAGTGACAAATTACTCACCTCAACATGGCACCTGTTTGCAGTAACGTACACTTCAGTGAAAATCTTAATTCGTTAAATATTCAAATTACAATAGGTTATAATATTCTTACAACTTTGTTTTTCATTATTTATCTTTTCTAATACACATTAAACAGAAAGACCACAAAAATTAATAAAGCACAATCTAAACTATTAAATTATCTGTTCTTTATATTTGGCTGTCAGGCGCAAATTATAAATAAAGGATTGAAATTTGGAAAAAATATGCAGAGCTACAATTTATATCTAGTACTTTTTATGATGTGTCAGAAAAGGAGATTCTTTAAAACCAAGCCTAAAAGTAATATTTTTCTATTTTTCCTTTCTTTTTTGTTGATAGTAAGAGTCAAAATTTAATAAAATGCCTGAATAAATTCTCAAAACATCTTTATCATCTACAGGAAATTTAAACTTGTATAAGAAGCTATTTTTTTTTCTTTTTCTTCTTTTATTGTTTTTTTTCAACACTTCCAATATGATTTTCAGTATAAATTTTATTTATCTCCACGGCAGTTTTGCCTACCTTAATTCGCCCTTTCTGAATATAATTTTATGAGAGAAAAATTTCTTTGGCTTATATTGTAGCCTGGTTGGGGATTTCAGTAGAATAAGTATTAAAAGCTAGCCTTAGAGTTGAAAGAGTTCTCCAGATCATTTGTCTCGAACATTGTCAAGGACCATATCCTCAGTCAAACTGGACATCAGATCTCTGCATTGAGTTAGTCATCACAGAGCATTTTGATGTGTTTAAAAGCATCTCATCATGATGACACCAATCATTCAATCTGTCCAGGTCTCTCTGCAGTAGATAAGCAGAATCATGATTGCACATCTCTGTGAAAATCTTCACATCGTCACCATGCAGCAAAACCTCACTGCACTCTAAAAGATGTGGAAGATTGTTTATGACGACGTGAAAAAGAAGAGAACCCAGATGAGATCCCTGTGGTACCCCAGATGGTATTTCGAACATGAGCATGAATGGCCACAAACGTGAACAAAATACTTCCTCTGAAGCAATAGAAGTAAAGAGCCGCCAAACCTAAACAAAGACAATTATCTCAGCAGCATATCATGGTTTACTCGATTGAACCCTTCGAGAACTCTGTGAAGATAATGTTCAACTCTATACCTGCTTCATTGCACAAGTCACATACTTTTACTTTCTCGCTAAAGCTTAAGCAGCGAATTTTTGGCAGAAAAACTCCTCATAGGGCCCAGGTAATGAAAAGTTAGATAATACCAATTTCTAAATTTGAGGGGTGAGGGATTTCTAACACGTGGTGTAGCTAGAATCCATGTTTTGTGGGTTCTTGATACCGAAAAATCGAATGACGGCAAAACGTTTTTTTCATGTAGCGTTACGCAGCAGAAGTTCCCTCTTAAGCGCAAGAAAGTAAAATCGCTAGCCTTAAGGAAATATCATTTTAGGTTGCTGGCTCGGGAGCTTAATTCTGTGAATTAAGTCTTATTGGTGGGACATGATTGATCTGTATGAATAGCGCTTAAAATTGTCAAATTTCGATGTTTACTTGAAAATATTTAGTTTGTAACGAGTTTTACAAAATATGATGAATGAGATGTGTTAATTCGGAGAGAAATTGTGATATAAATAGAATTACATTACTATTGCTAAAGGCGAGAAGGTTCGTGCGTTTTTTTAGAACCACTAGTGTGAAAACAATATGTTGTAGATCTTTCCGTTCTTAAGTCGTGTTGTGCAGAACTAATCAAAAAGCTAAGCGTTATCGCGTTAATTTTTGTAGCCATGTTTTCAAATAGCTTGAAGATTCCACTCAGTATTATTATAGATCTGTAGTTGACGATCTCAAACTTGCTACCAATTTTAAATTCTCGTCCTTCGTGACAAGAGAAAGTATTGTAATCCTGCGCAAGAAACGGCATGTCCTTGGTAACGAAAAATTGGATAAAATCTTTATATACATAGTAAATTACTTCCTCCAACAAGTTGTGTAGTCAGAATCCCTGTTTTTAGAGTACCGAATAATCGATTGAGGGCAAAACGTCATGTTTCTCTGCCCGTCTGTGGTCAACGCTTGTGCCGAAAGTTTAGTTGATTTTCTCCTTAAATTGATAATCCTCGATCGATTTATAGGAACTCGATGCCTTTTAAGTTTGAAATGAATATTTCGACTTTTGGGGTACTTTAAATGACTCAGCATTTTCTCAAAAATGGCTTGTTGATTCAACTTAGCCTGAAGGGCATTTATAGAATGATGCAGGTATAATTTCTGTTTTTTTTAAAATTGCAAATGCTTGAAATGTTGTTCGGTGTCTACAGCTACAATATTGAAGATAGGATTTTTCCCTTAACAAAATGTATTTTAGAGACACGTTGAAATAAGTAGTAGTTTTCGCATAATTTGGCGAGAGGTAAAATCCATTTTTAAACAATTATTTTCTGAAAAAGGGGACAAAGTTTTTCTTCAGAATTTCTCCTCGTATGTATGAAAGGACGGTAAGAAATTGGCGCTAGTCGCATTCTCGGCGAAGTCAGTGTTTTTGGAAACAGTAAAACTATGACATGGAAGATAAAGAATATCTAAAAGTTTTTACCAAAAAGTTATATAATAGCTCGTGCCAATCTCCCTTATTAATTTCATGCCTGAATAACTCCTCGAATATTTCCCCAAGTGTACCTAATTGAGGTGACTACAACCTCATGTTCCCATGTTTGTTTCACGATACCATAGAAAAAATAGGGTGGGGTATAATATGCGAGAGTTCTCGCACGGGTACGCTAGTGTTTAATATTTCTTCGGCTTGATCATCGTGTTAAGGTCCGCAGAGAACGAAGATGGGTTGTTCCCACGACGATTACGTCTCAGGCACACACTGATCCAGTAAAGAATAAACCATACCATAGAAAGCATGAACATAATCATTTACATTTTCATTAAGTAGAATGGAGTGCCAATCAGTACTATTCAAGGCTGTCGCAATGGAATGATATACAGCACAATGAAAATCATAAGAATAACACCAGGTCGATTGTTCAGATCAATCCACGCCATTTATCTATTTAAGAGGAGTATGATTACCATCCTGAACCATCAGAGGATCGACTGCTGCACCCACAGAACGAGATTAAAGTGAACAGAACAAAGTCTAATATAGTGTGGCGTCATGGGAATTGCACTTCAAAATCACAGACAAGAGCGCAGCTGTTTACAATGGTTTATTTACAAGTATTAATTAATGAAAGAAAATACAGAAGAAAAAAATGTTATTTCATAACGCGAAGCAGCTTGAAGAGCAACACTACTTGTTTGGTCATTCGTCGTGTGCGCGTGGGCGTGTGTGTGTGTATTGTTCTTAAAAGCTGATATACGTATGACACATTATGTATGTACATCCACCTTAAAGGACATTTCTAATTTTTATCTTTATGCTAATGCATTTGGTAGGACGCGTTCTTGAAAACTTAGTAAATTAGGGTAAAGTTTGCAAGTGTGAACGTTCCGTGATAAGTATATACTCAAATCAAGAATGTCTCGAGTTTAGATCCTTCTCTTATAAATATTTCATAATAGTATAAATCTTACTTCTAAAAACGCATCTCACTTCTTTTTTATCTCCTTTCTGCGTGGTTTGCAAAAATTATTCGTTATTCCTTGTTGGCGGGGTTCGTGTAAGGGACTGCGACAAATTTGTGTAACAGTACTTAATGAAATAAACTAGTGTCATTATTACAATTCTACAACAAATACAATAAGTTTTACAGTTTGTCTCAACAGCTGATCTGACGTAACGACCACGTGTCTGCCGCTCGAGTAAAATCTCGAGCTCTCTCCCCCCGCCTCCCAGCTGTCAAGGAGACAAGTATTATTCGCAGTATACATAGATCGTGTACACGATCGTTAACATTATAAACTAATTGCATAAATTACTATTGCTACACTGTTCGTTTTGACACGATTTTGTTAGACCCCATTTTTGTGAAAATTTTATTTCTTTGTAAAAGTAAAATGTACTTATTTATGCATCGAGATATCTTCAGGGGTCCATTTCTTCGCAGAAAGTAAAATGTCTAAAATGAAACCTGTCCAAGCCGGAAACCTACTTTAACCTAATTTCTCCTGTCCATGACGTTAAATAGTATTTTACACTGCATAAAACGGAACCTGCCAACGCGGAACCGGACCAGTTTTTCATGTTCTACAAGAGAGAGAGGGGGAGGGGAGGGCGAGAAATAAAACATTTAATACCGTCAAGAGTTGTCTGAACTCGTGTACTTTCAATAATACGTGAAATTCATATAATGAAGTCGCAGCTATTGCCAAATGAAGATCCTACCAAATGAAGATCAGTACCAGAAAACTGGTATTCCCCCCCAGCCGCTACGCCGCGTTTTGTGACAGATTCTCCACCTCCTGCTCTGTAAGGTGTTTGCCGTGCAAACAATTGACGCCCACTGTTGCAGCCAACGAGCTAGAATATACTGCATAGAATGGTTGTATCGCCTCCATCTTTGCAGCAAATTGAAGCCATGGTTTTTGAAGTCAAAGCTGCGCCTTCTGGAGAAACAGAGTATTATAGCATTCTGTTTTGCGCTGGTTGCGGTCGGTTGGACGTGGGCCGCGCGTTATATAAATCCTCTTCCTCTGTTCCACGACCCAAAACCTATCATTTAAAAACGGAATGACAATACGTTAGGAGAACGAGTGGAGAAACTTCAAGTATACATTGCTTCCTGCATCGGTTATTATCATAAGAATGGAAGCTATTGGAATTTAATTGTAGTTAGCACAAAGTCTGAATGGGAATGTTGTTGTAATAAGAAGCAGGTAAACATCTCAAATACTGCGACAAACTCGAAAAATGATGTATTTGTTGTTTGAATACTTCTATTTTTACAGTTATATACCGAACATACCCAAGGCATCGTGAATATTATTATTCTAACCGTTAATATAATTTTAATACAGATAAATGAAAATACAACAATATAGAAATAAGATCTTATACTAACAACACGCCACCTTTAGGCAACTCATGTTTTTACTGCAAAAAACTTGGCGTCGAACATCGAATTCGCGCGGAAACCATAGGATCAGGCACTCAAGGAATATATTCTAGCTCGTTGGTTGCAGCCCACGGTCGCAGTGAAAACGCAGTAAAACTTCGATATTGCTGCAATATCGGGAATATCAATAAAATGAAAATGTATATTCCTAACATATAAGATGTTTTCGATTAATTATCTGGTGGTTGTGCAACCGTGCAATCTATGCACAGACGCGACTCGCTGAAGCAGAGAGTATATATAGCTGAAGAGTCAGCTATTATTATCCGAGAACAAGAAGGCAGCTCCCCTGACCCGCAACGGGAATATACAACTATACTGAATGATTCTGTGGCATCACGATTCTAAGATACTACACCGATTTAAAAATTCAGAACCTCCCATCGCTCAGTTGATGAAGCTGTAGATGAATCGAACAATTTTTTTAGAAAGTGTTGGTAAGAAGGTATTAGGCTTCGAAAGAAGGTGTGAGGCTACGAAAAGAAATGAAAAGGAAAAAAACATCAGTGTCTTCCATGTCAGTCCGTAAATAAAGCATCAGCATATAGGTTAGGTTTCGGATCACATATGCCAGTACTAAAGTAGAAACATTTTTTGCTTTCACAATCAAAAATCTACTGACTGGAATAACTTTTTTGTTTTCGAACTTGCCTTATTCCTGATTTGGGGCTGAGAGAATGTGGCTTATTGTAGTTGGAAGAAAGAGAAAGCACATATTCTGTCCTTGATATTCTTCACTGTACTGCAGTCACTACACTGCAAAGCTTAAAACGCCTGTCTTTTGCCAAAAGGTAGTCACTTAGAGCAGTTACTCAAAAGTTTGTGTTTGTCATTTTAAGGAAATTATTTTTGATAATTATTAATTAACTACTTGTGTATTGTTAATATTTTTAATAATTTTAGTAAGATTTATTTATTTAATATGCAGATCATC